TGAATTTCCAGACGTCAGGTGTTGTTTACAGCACACCGTACAGCCTTTGAGGGGGGGGTCTGGGGGGGGGTGCAGCCCCCCCCCAGCGACTATACAAAAAGGAATTGTAACCGCAAGAAACCCTAAGTTTATTACTCTAGGGTATTAGGCCCCAAACGAAAAAAAACTCTGACCACCAGTTGATACATACACAGGGAAGAATCCTGATGGGGGTGCTCAGCGGTACTCCCCCTGGAGCAAGCAGGTTCAACTCCAGCAGGCAGCTGCAGCAGTGATGACCACCCTGGCGACACAGTGCAGTAGCGTGGGCCCCGGATGGGGCTTTGTACGGGAGGGGATATGGCAGGGACCAGCTACATTTACCATAGAATATATTAAGCTATTAAAAGCTTAATCGCAGTAGCGACATGGTGTTGAGATTCACTAACTGTATGGATCACTTTCTGTTACTGCTGTTCTAGGTCTCTCCCCGCCTCCCATGGTGTCAGACCCTGTGCCGTTGCCATAATGACTCCAAACCCCGCGGTGCCGCCAGCAATCCATGCTTCCTTCACATCCATATGAATGATCAGCCCTGCACACGAAACAATCATTAGTGTCTCGGGTGTTCCACTCAGGTTGCAATTAAATGTGTTTTCAACAGGATGACATGCTGCGTAACCAGTATTACCTAACCTGAGCATATCTAGATGTATGCACAGTGTGCATGGCAGCTAGCTGCAGGTTGGGTGGGGCCTAGGGCTCATCCTGGATTATTGATTTCTGAAGTTTATCTGGGAGGAAAATGTATCTCCCCCTGGATGGTGTAGTAGCTGGCTGCTGAAAAGGTTTTTGAAGATGCTGGTAGATCAGCTCTGCATGTATTTACAAAAAATATGCATGTGCTTCTATTTACTGCTGCTAGCTACGTCTGTATTTTTTCGGGCATTGTATAGGCGAGATATTCGGGAAAATAGGTGAAAGGTATATAGGCCAGTTATGTGTACACGTATTATACGAGAAATAAAGGCCCAGACCTAAAGAGGGATATATGTACATGTTTGCCTAATAGAGGACCCTGTATATATGTAGAATACCTGACCTTCTTTATGCTATGCGGTATACTTCCAAGCTATACAGATATGTGTACACGTAATATTGTAAACAACAGTGCATATACAAGTGCGTGTGTACATGAGCGCCTATTACAAGACCGCTATAGGCATCACATAATATGCATTGCCCTTTACATGACAGCCTATACCTGACCTTGTTTAGGGTGTGGTGTATACTTGCCTGGTATATGCATGCGTCTACATGTAATGTTGTAAACAACAGTGCCTATACAGGTGCGTGTGTACATGAGCGCCTATTACTAGACCGCTATAGGCATCACATAATATGCATTGCCCTTTACATGACAGCCTATACCTGACCTTGTTTAGGGTGTGGTGTATACTTGCCTGGTATATGCATGCGTCTACATGTAATGTTGTAAACAACAGTGCCTATACAGGTGCGTGTGTACATGAGCGCCTATTACTAGACCGCTATAGGCATCACATAATATGCATTGCCCTTTACATGACAGCCTATACCTGACTTTGTTTAGGCTGTAGTGTATACTTGCCTGGTATATGCATGCGTCTACACGTAATGTTGTAAACAACAGTGCCTATACAGGTGCGTGTGTACATGAGCGCCTATTACAAGACCGCTATAGGCATCACGTAATATGCATTGCCCTTATACATGACAGCCTATACCTGACCTTGTTTAGGCTATGCGGTATACTTGCCAGGTATATGCATGCGTCTACACGTAATATTGTAAACAACAGTGCATATACAAGTGCGTGTGTACATGAGCGCCTATTACAAGACCGCTATAGGCATCACGTAATATGCATTGCCCTTTACATGACAGCCTATACCTGACCTTGTTTAGGCTGTGGTGTATACTTGCCTGGTATATGCATGCGTCTACACGTAATGCTGTAAACAACAGTGCCTATACAAGTGCGTGTGTACATGAGCGCCTATTACAAGACCGCTATAGGCATCACGTAATATGCATTGCCCTTTACATGACAGCCTATACCTGACCTTGTTTAGGCTGTGGTGTATACTTGCCAGGTATATGCATGCGTCTACACGTGATGTTGTAAACAACAGTGCATATACAGGTGCGTGTGTACATGAGCGCCTATTACAAGACCGCTATAGGCATAACGTAATAAGTAATGCCCTTTACATGACAGCCTATACCTGACTTTGTTTAGGCTGTGGTGTATACTTGCCAGGTATATGCATGCGTCTACACGTGATGTTGTAAACAACAGTGCATATACAGGTGCGTGTGTACATGAGCGCCTATTACAAGACCGCTATAGGCATAACGTAATAAGTGATGCCCTTTACATGACAGCCTATACCTGATCTTGTTTAGGCTGTGGTGTATACTTGCCAGGTATATGCATGCGTCTACACGTGATGTTGTAAACAACAGTGCATATACAGGTGCGTGTGTACATGAGCGCCTATTACAAGACCGCTATAGGCATAACGTAATAAGTGATGCCCTTTACATGACAGCCTATACCTGATCTTGTTTAGGCTGTAGTGTATACTTGCCTGGTATATGCATGCGTCTACACGTGATGTTGTAAACAACAGTGCCTATACAAGTAGTGCCGCAGCCTATGGGCCCTCCGGCCTTTCATTATGGAGGCATCCTGGGAGCTCGAGCTCCCCACATGTTTGTGTGGAACTTGTAACTTGAACTCACTTCCACAACAGCCCATGCTCACTAGTAACCAACCTAGGGTGACTAGGGTTACAATCCAAACATCTACCCATGAACGTCAGTCGCATTCTATCATGACCCAGCAGCAGCAGCATTAGATGCTGCTGTTAACAGTATTGGGCGGCATGGGTGTATCATGTATGGCCGACGCGTTGGTGGGTGTAGTCGACTACACCCACCATTGGTGTAGTAGCTGGTACACAGTACGGCTATACAAATGCTATATATATGTATGTATATATAAATATGCGCGAAGCGCGACCACCAGCATCTAGAGAGGCCTTTTCAGCAGCCAGCTACTACAAATGGCGAAAGCAAACACACAATGAACAACACACAGCAGAAGGACAGATAACACATGGTATGAACACACGTCGTGGTTGTCTAGGACCCTATGGTTTGCAGCCAAGTGGATAATGTGAGGCGGTGCTTATGTGGGTGGTGGGAAGTAAGGGGTATAGCGTTACCCTGGCAGGCCACTGCAGGTCCATTCCCGTCCATCAGCATGTAGTGGTGGCATCTAGAGATTGGTTCCTATTACTGCTGACACGATACACTGATTTGACAGTGCCAATCAAATTCCAACATCCCCTCACGAGTGCCACTCTCTCACTCTGGGCACCCCCCCAATGGCATACTCCAGGCCGGTTCCGGCCCGGTTCCGACCTAACGGGTCCAGTTAACGAGATGGGTAACCGGTCGGTAGGATTACCGGGCGAACCGTTATCCGTTAACCGTCCCCAGTAATCGGTAACCGATGTCGGTAACCTGGCATGAGCAAAAATGCATTTCTGATTGCAACCAGTTTCTTTGTGACAATGCCCATTGTCACAAGGTTCATGCCCACGTGTCACAACCCGACAAGCTTGAGGAGGTTAAGGCAATGTGAATGCCGGGTGACAGGGGTGACAGTCTTGTGCAGGCACATTTGGAGACTAGTTTACACTGAGATTGGGGTGATGTTGGATTAGAATACTTGCAGTTCATGAAATTGAGGAAATGTGTTGCATAGGCATATCCAAACGTTTCAGAGGGACGTTGTTTCGCCCGTAACAAACTTGTTACGGGCGAAACAAACTGGATTTCCACAGTCCCACCACTCAAAGAGCTCCCCACACCATCGCAAAGTCCCTTTTTTATTACAGACACATGTAACAAGTTGTCATAGCTTGAGATTGTCGATATATGACTGCTGGATTGTGACCAGGCCATCTCCTTACATGTCTTGCTGCACCAGCATGAGCAGTGATCCCTTCTGTTTAAAATTT